AAAATACGCAAATACAAGAACTAGACCATTTAGTTAGAGATTTAGAGAGGTGAAGGGTAGTGCTTTTTCTCATCATTTCCCCCAAATTTAGAGAGACCCTTTTACAGCTCTTACTGCACCCTTCCCCGCTTTTTTTACATTTAACTTACTTGTTCTAAGTTTACCATATCTATCTGCTATTTCAAATATGTGAATATCTTTGGGGGAGTTACAAAGTGACTCTAAGACTAAGCATTTTTTCAATTAGCCCTCTTTCACCAACAAATAAAAAACAGTGGCAACGGTAAAAGAGACTGCAAGAAAGATAATACATGTAAAACTCCCTTTTTTACAATCCTTAATATGGGGTAGAGAGTCAGGGCAGCTGAAAGAAGCTGAGCATTTACTGGCCGGATGTTCTTCCTGACACCACGTGGAATTCACAGATGATATTTTTTTTCCTTTGCACCCTAGGAGAGAAACATCTGCCGCTATCTAGAATTGAACTCTCTACCTTCTGAGTGGCAGGTGAGCATCTTCACCATTAAGCTACCAAAGCGCTCAAAGATAATACATATACAAGCCATTATTTCCGGGTATAGCAATAACCTGGATCCTAATAATTTAACTTTCTATTCTATTCTCTTTTTCATCAGTTTAGGTTTATCCCTGCTCCCCCTTATCCCTATTTTCCTGTTTCCTCCCAATTCTGAAAACTAACTATCTGTGTTTGGTCCTTGCAGACCAAACAGACACAGCCCAGTCAGGAGGAGGGAAGGTTTTGCAGGGCAAAGAAAGAAGGGGTGGAGGGAAACAGGGGGAACTGAGATACGCAAAATAAAATAAATACTTAGGAACACTTATTACATGACAGCAATGATGGGGTGCATGCTTGCCCCAAAGGGAGCTGTGCTTGGCAGACCCTATTTGAACTGCTTTTGACCTGAGGGACCCCTCCATGAGCATGAGCTTAACCTCATGGAACCCTTGCAGCTGTTTAATTCTGCTAGTTGTGATGTTGCATGTGAATGCATGTGAATGGGAAAGAGTTTTGCCTGCGCACGTGTGTGAAAGACAGTACTCTACAGACCTGTTGTACCCCTGCATTTTGCAATAGAGCAGGTGTTGGACAACTTGATCTAATTTCAAACCTCTTTGCAAAGGATCACTTAAGATCTAGAGGAAAACCACTCAGCCTTCTCTCTGAAACCTGGTCTGGAGAGAAAGCTGAGGTGTTTGGGGGTGGGGGAAGCATGTGGGAGGGTCTCCCACTTTTATCTCTGGCTGCACCCATTCACCTCTCAGGGACCCAGGGTAGCTTGTAAGTATCAAAAGTAAAAAAGAGGCAGTGGTTTGATTGCAGTCACGACTGCCATTGTGGCTTTTTTTTTGACACCTCCCAATCCTCCCTGAGTCAAACCTGGAAACAGCCTTCTATCCATGCAAGCTGGGATTGCCTTGCAGTGGGAGGTAACCCAACAGAGGGGCTGTTGACCCATCAGACCTATAGATATAGCTCTTGCTTAGCCAGATAGCTTACAACTGTGGTGAAAAAGTAACTTTGCAAAAGTAACTTTCAATCTTTGCACTTGGGACTCCCACAGGTCTATAAAGAAAAGGAAAGCTGAAATATGATTGTAAGGACAGTTGTGGTTTCACTTAGGGACCGCTTTGCTTAATGACTGAGTTCCTGATCCCAATTAAGGTTGCTGAACAAGGGCTACCTGTACAGTGGTTGTGCTCCTATGACTTGCTTACTGCTGCTTCTTTTAACCAAAGTTAAAGGAAACTCAAGCCAGTTTTCTGCTTCTCACAACCAACTACCATAATGCATTAACCACATGGCATGCTCATTAAAAATACTGTCTCTGGGAATCCCTGCCTACTCTTGTGCCCAGGGTGGGCACTGCTTCTGAGGTGATGCAGAATTCTGTCCAGAGGTGGTAGAAAAGTGTGGTTTGAATAAGGAAGGACAGTTTCCCAAGGAAGAGGAGGAGATCTGGATTTGGCTAGGAGGGTCTCTCTGCTAGGCAGTGGTGGAGAGACAGTGAGCACGCAAACAAGGGTTCTGGTTGCAAAGAAGGGCTTTACCAGGGCAACGAGGGGAAAAAAGGAAAGCAAAAGAAAGAAACAGCAAAGACACACATATCCTCCATGACTCAGCTAGAGAGGAGCAGCAGAATTTGTGCAGTTCTTAGTGGGATGGGTTTCCTAGTTTATAATCCTTTTAGTTTATAATCCTTTTAGGCATGTTCTTGGAAAAGTATTACAAGTAACCCAGTACATAAAACCAAATATTAGTGTTTCGGTTAATGAAAAATTAGTGACCAAAGCAAAATGGCCCTGTTTTTCAAAGTTTTATTTTTTGAAAAAAAGATTTCATAGCATACTGCGGTAATCTTAATTTGCTTCATTTCCTGATCCCTAGAGACATTTTTGAAGCTCATTTAGTGTACAGTGTGGGTTAAGGCATCTGGCTAGAAACCAGGAGATTGTGAGTTCTAGTCCTGCTTTAGACCCAAAGCCAACTGGACCAGTGACTCAGACCAGTCACACTGTATCAGCCCTAGGTAGAGATGGCAAGGGCAATTACTTTTGAAAACCTTGCCAAGAAAATCACAGGGATGTGATGTGGCCAGGCACACATCAGGACTCAAAATTGATTTAAAGACACACACACTTAAAAGGAACTGATAAATGTTGCCTAGTCAGGTAATGAAACATCTGTAAGCAAACCACCAAGCTCAGAAAGTATCTAGGACTCCACAAATATAGAAAAAGCTTCAGTGTTCTGGCTTCTGGGCTAATGAACTAGTCCTCATGCAATGCTTGTTAGTTTGAGTTTGAAACTAGGCAGAGGTCAGTCGTTTCCAATTCAAGTAAAGTCTTCTTGGGGTCACCAGAAAATTCTCTTGAAATGCAAATAGCAGCTTTAGAGGACTTTTTTATCCAGACTGTTGTAAAATGAAAGAGTTTTAACTCTCGCTCCAATCCATTCAAGGTTTAGAATATGCCCTGCCTATACTGAAGCTTTCATTTACATAACAACTAATGCTCCCATTAATTGCAGTTTGCTAGTAGTGCTGGCCTAGAAAGATATGCAAACTCTTCCAGAGTGCCTGGAGGAAACTCAGACTGACATCCTACACAGCCTTACTAGAAAGTAAGATTTGTGGAACTACTGGGACATGTCTGAATAAACATGCATAGACTTGTGTACCTGCCCCATCAAATTCATTAGCACTTGCAGCTCAAAAAGAATGCGAGGCTTAGTTATATGAGCTCAGCTTAAGTTGTATGCCTGTGCACACATATTCAAGCAGCGTTATTTCCCCCAAAATCATGCCATGCGTATTTGCTGCTGCTGAAAAAGAACTAGGACTGCAATTCAAAACCAAGTTGATTTGGGGTTCCAGTTTCAGTAGAAAGTTTATCTATGTGTGTGTGACATGTGAGACATTAATAGGAATAAGTGTGCCTCAGGATGTTTGTGAGGATTGGGAGGCAGAAAAGAATCCTCCCATCCCATCCCATTTAGGGCTATAGCTCTGGGCTGCAAAAATCCAGACAACCATTAGAAGGAAGCAAAGAAATACCTAATTTCATTTATTAATGTCAAGGCTGTGGGGAGGTTCAAGGAGTTTGTTTGACTTTGGATGTATACCATATGCAGAGGCACATTTTCTAAAAGGAAGGCAAGGCCAGGAGAAGGATTCAGTTCAATTCCTATTGAATTCCATTGGGATGACTTCCCATTGATTTAATGTTTCTTTTCCTTCACCTTAACATTTTGTGTTTGATGGTAAGACACAGTGTCTGCACACAAGATATTGGATGCTGAGGTCATGCATTTGATTGATGAACCATTATTTAATTCTGCACATTTATAAACACATATTTAAGTATGCTTGCAAAAGATAACTGTTATCACTGTTTCAAGAGAAATGCATTTACTATTGCAATACAAACTAGGAAAGTGAAGTCCAGATGAATTTTAATGATATTTCATGTTTCGAACTCCCCCCCCAAAAGAGGTGCTCTGGGAGGTAAATACTGTTGAACTACTCTTGAGCACTTTTCTATACTTTACAGTTTTATTTACAAATACATGCCACCTTATGAGGGTTTTATTCTACTTCCACTATGTTGTATTCGGGTGGAATGCTCTTTACACCATAGATCAAAAGTTTAAACTAGCTCTTTCAAGGACAGTACTGTTTCCCCGCCCCCCCCAAATTAAATGCATTTTATTTTTATTATTTGTTTCAAGCTCCCCTCCCCAATAGTTTTACAGTACAGCTATTCCACGTATCGCTGTATTTTATAAAACGCACAAATAAATGACTCTTAAATACGTACACAGATCCATACCCACACAATTTCTAAGTAAGAAAAGCCAAAGAGAACCATCGCTGTTGAAAGTTATCCAGAAAGTAGGGATGTAAACCATTTCAGGTGACTTTTAAAATGAATTCAGATCCATTTGCATTCTAGTACTTTGTTTTCCCTCCAAGATATTCATGACTCTGGGGTGGCAAATATGTGCGTGCGTTTAGTCCGCGTTCCCGTCTTTGTTTTTTTTTTTTAAAAAAATATATAGATCCATTACACATAGCAAGCGTGCAGGGAGCGCAAGAGGAGAAAAGGGAAAAGAAACAAAACCCCCAGAATAACTTAAGTCCCAAGTCCAAAAGGGAACCGCATAAAGTGCGCGTATTCTTGTTGTGACACAAAGGAAGAGTGCCCGTTTCGCAGAGATAAAAAATGTCTGAACCCACATTAATGTTCTCTCCCTGGGTTGGCAAGTCCAGCCCGCCATTCCGAGAGCTCCCTGTTTCGCCGGTCCGGGTTTTCCGCGCGCCCTCGACTTGCCTGGCTTTGCTGCCGGCCTCTCTCTCTCTCTCTCTTTCTCTCTTCTCTGAGCGTCTCGCCCGCCGCCCGCCCGCCCGCTTGCTCCCTCCCTCTCTCTCTCTCTCTCTTCCCCCCCCTTTCCTCCTCCTCCTCCTCCTCCCTCCCTCCCCGTGCACTCTCCAGCCCCTCTCTCTCTCGCTCGCTCGATCCGCCGCTCACTTCTGTCTCAATATGTCTCAAGATGGCGGCCAATGTGGGATCGATGTTTCAATATTGGAAGCGCTTTGATTTACAGCAGCTGCAGGTCAGGCTCGGGGTCCGCTGGCGCGTGGGTCTCCCCCTCTCCGTGGGACCCCCTTTCCTTCTTCTTCGCCCTCCCCTTCTCTCTCTGCCTCTCCCTCCCTTTGCAGGCGCCCTGGGGAGGGGGGGCTCCCCCTTGTCTTCCCCCTTAAGAAAACCTCCCCCCCCCCCTCCAAGAAAAAAAAAGTCTGGGCAGAAGCAGCGCCCCCCCCTCCTGCGGGTCCCCCCCCCACTCCCTCCAAGCCTGGCTGAGACCCGGCGGTGGCGGCCGCCAGCCCTGCCCGCCTCCCCTCGCCTCTTTCCGCTCTCCCTCCCATCGATAACCCGGCGCCGCCGCCGCGATCAGAAATTGATCCTCTTTGTTCAATTCATCGATCCCAACAAGATGGCGCCGCTGCCGCCGAGGTGGCTTGTCCCGGGATGGAGGAGCCGCTTCGCCACCTCCTCCCCCCCCCTCCGTCCCTCGCCGAAGCGCCCCTTACCCAAAACAGCATCACTCCGGGAACCCGGGTTTCCTTTAAGCCTCCCCCCGCAGCTTTAGTTTTATAAATAAGGGAGGACAGAGAGTCACGGGGGGGGGGTAATAATACTAATAACAATAACGGGGAGCGGGTCTGCTCTCTCTTCCTTGAGTCTTGATTATTTGTGCAGCCCCTTCCCCTAAATCCAGACGCAATTTAATTCTTCCACAGCACTTTTCTTTACCCCCCCCCCTTTCCGACTAGTCCCCTTTTTAAAAAGGAGGGAAGAATGAAGGTTTTTTTTATTAGTAACTGGAGATATTGTTCCCCCCCCCTTTCCTGATTTCTACTTATTTTTGCACTCCCCCATCTAAAACAACCTACTTTTAACACTTTTATTTAACAACAGCCCGCAATTAGTATCTTTCAACAGTCTCACAGTTTGTGGGGAGGGGGGTAGACTTAAGGAAATTTAACTTGAGAGGGAGGGAGCTGTCTTATTTTCCTTTTTTTCCTCCCTCCATCGGATGCCCCCTGTCTTTTTTTTTCTTTTTCTGTAACAGTCCTCCAATTTTATATAAAGTGAAAGAATTAAGGAACTAAAATCACCATAATATATATATTTAAAACAGATGCATGTGGATCTCTGCTTTTTCTATTTTCTAGGTTGATTTCCTCTTCCAAAGCTATGTGGGGGGGGGAGGTGTTCTGGGGTTGCTTCCTTTCTTTGACTCTGTCATCCTCTAGAAACCCCTCTTTTTATGCAGAGGAAGGAATATTAAAATAACCTGTAACGGAGGGAGTCTGACCTGTTTCTTTCACTCATTTCAACCCCCCTCCCTACTGGAATGAGTCCCCTTTCTTCTTAACAGGGACTAAATTTTATGGGATGGGGAAAGAAGTGCTAAAAGAAATTGCTGTAGATGTATTTTTATGTGCAGATCTTGTAAGATCATGTTTCTTTCTGCTCTGGCTCCTCCAAAAAGACATTTTTCCTTCTAGATTTAAACCCCCCCCCCAAACACTCGCACACCAAATACATTAAATTGAAGCTCGTGGGAAACTTTGCAAGGAGTTTATACAGTGACCAGGGAAGGGGGAAAAGCTACTAGGAAGGAGTGACTTTCCTGCCTTCCCAGTGTCAGAAGCTGCCTTATGAGGCCTGGGGGAGCCCCAATTTTTCTCCCTCTTCTGTCATTGCCAACTTTTTTTTTCACCTTCCTGATGGTAAACTAATGTGAATAGCTGGAAAAAATGAGCTGTCTTAATGCTGCTTTAAAATTCTGGCATTATTTTGTGGGGAGGGGTTCTTCCAAAGTGGCTTTTGACTCCCCCTTTCTTTGCTGGCTTATTTAATAATGGCAAGATTTCCCATTTCACTCCATTCAGTCAAATCTTTTTGGGGGGGTAGGTGGGGGTGTGGAGGGGGGCTGAGGAAGAAAATTTAGAATATCGCCTTTCTTTTTGAAGAAATCCTATATAATGCATTTTAAGCTTTGGGTTTTTTTTCTTCCTTTGGGGGGAAGCATTGGCTAGCATTAATTGATAATGAATGTACTGTATTTAGGTAAGTCCTACCCTTGCAGTTCTCTATTCACCCACCGTCCTATTTTTATTACAAAGGAGATTGCAGTCCCTTTGTGAAATAATACCAATTCTCCGTCATTTTCCCCCATTCCAGTATTTGGGGAGGAAGTGTTTCCTCCCACTTGTTCCTTTCCCAATTTCCCCAGAACAAGTTAAAAAGGGGGGAGGGGTCAAATTAGTTGATTCTTCTTTCATAGTGTGGGAAGGAAGAGAGAATGTGCAAGGTCAGGGGAGGACTTGTCTAATCCTGTTGTATGTTATGGGGTCCACTGTTCGCCTTTGATGTTATATTGTGTGCCAGAGAGAGAACGAAGCGGGAGACGGAGATCTTGTAATGGGGGAGGACAAGGCAAGTCTTACATGGCTATTCTCCTCCCATGAAAACCCCCAATTCTTTTGGTAGATTGGAAGAGGAGTAAAGAAATAAATCCTACTGTTTCTGTGTTTGCTCTTAAGTAAATGTGATGCTTAAGATTGCAGCTTCAGTTAATCTGAGGGATGGTCTTCTGTTCCGCTTACATGCCATGCTGGGTGCTTGGGTAGTAGGCAAAAGGAGAACTTTTTTGCTGTTTCTTTTTACCATTCTTTAAAGGAAGTGGGGTGGGGAATCTCCTCTTTTGAAAGGACCCCTTTCCTGCACCCGCTTTTCTTAAAAAATGGGATGGCTCCCTGAGTTCCAGCCAAGACTTCTTAAGGCTAGAACTGACCCTCCCCGACCCTGTTTGTTTTCTGTGTCATCTGCACTTTTGTGGAAAGGAGCATTCTCTCATTTCGGAAAATTCCTCATTTCGAAGTTTTAATTGAATCTTTGGAGGTGGTTTTGAGAATGGAGGGAGGACCCATTTCTTTTTTCACTTTATATCATTTTCCCCTTAAATTGAGATATATGCGTTGTATGTCTTTTCTCTGGGATTGTGTTCACCTGTTTTAGCTTTACAAAAACTGTCCTTTCTGCATTTTAAAGAGGCTGGGTTGCAGCTTGGAGGAGAGGGTTCTTTACTTCTCAATCAACATATTTCGCTGACCTCCCTTCTCCTTTCACACTCCTTTTCCAGTTGTTACTTCATGTGCCTGTGTAAAAGTTGTTTCTCCAAATTTGGGGACTGGAGAAGTCTCTGTATGAGGTGTCATTATGTTGATATCAGTGATCCTGGAAGGATGTGTTATACTTTTTTGTGTTTTGTGGGATCAAATTAACTTTGGGGGAATACATTTGGAAAAAAAGTGGGTATTTGATACAAAGCTCTAATTAATAACTTCCCCTGATGAGAGCTTCCAGAAACTTTAAGGATGTTGCTTTTTTAATGAATGGAAGTGGGGGAGAGAGCTATAGAATGGCAAGCTCCCTCGGACCTTGTAGGGGCACCTACCCCGTGGGTCAAGTGTCTTAATGTATAGTATTTAGATGGTGTGAGGGAAGGGAGATCCCTCTTTGTTGCCTTTTCCCCCCTTATGACTAGGTGGGTTGTTATTGTTTATCTTATTTCCTTATTTCAGGGTTGGCAGGGACAAGGCCTCTGCCTGGTGGAGGTCCCTGGCCAGAACAATTTCTATATCAAGTATTTTGATACATGCTTCTCCCTATTTTTAACAAGTTTTGTGTTTAGAAGTCATATTTAAAGAAGTTTTTGGAAAGGAGCAAGTGGACAAGATAAAGATTGCCTTATGTATATGGATGGGATGGGTATTCCTTGATGAGATTGCAGACCTACTACTTAATAACACTGCTTAGGGGTGTATGTGTGTGTATGTGTGTGTGCATGGGTAAATAAATATGAACAACAAGTAGGAAGAACCCAAAAGACCAGTAGGAGCTTTCCCTGTGGATCAGTGTTTTTGTGGCATAGATTGGTTGATCTGGGGCAGGAAACTGTCCAGCCTCTATAAATGTCTGACATGTAAATGAATTTGGCTGGAGACCTGCTCTTTCCCCCCTCCCTTTCCTTTCTCCCCTGCTGAGTAGTCTGTTCAGCCAATGCCCCTGTTGGTGTGAGGATAGTTCAGCATAGAAAGAGCTGGAAGTTGTGCATACTGTACATAGATGTTTGGCACAGCTGAAGAGGAAGTAAAGGTGAGGGCTCTGTTTGTGTGTGCTTGCATTAGAGACTGGTTGCTAAACTGGGGTGTGTATTCCTCCTGAGTGTCCTGAGAATAAAAGTGATAGTAAGACACCCTGGTTTTAGATGGTGTGTGTGTTTGTGTGTGTCCGTAAACCCAAGTTGTGGAGTGGAATGATGTTTGTACTTCCCCAGCTTTTTTGTCAATTGGGAGTATAACTGTTGGAAACATTCTGGCTCATGAATATAAAATGCTGTTCAACTGTTTTCCTCATCCTCATGAGGGTAGGGGCTGCTGGTCTTTGCCTTGGAAAAAGATTAAAAGATAAGGCAAATTATTTATTTGCTCTGTTTTTTAAAAAAGATCTTTAGATTAAGGTAGGCTTGTTTGAACTTTCTGTACTTGAAAGAGTTCTTAAAAGTGACTAAAATACCTACAGGAATTCAGGAAATGAGACCCAGATGTGGAATTGTATGGATTAGATTAAGATGTAGTTAAACATGATCTGACAACTCTAATTGTAGCTGACTTCACTTTTGCCTATGTATTGTAATTGCTTTGAATGGAAAAATTTGCACATCCCTTGAGAATAATCCCAAAACGTTTTAGTTGCTACTGCATGGGTACTTCTATAAATACTGTGTTTGGGAAAATAAAGCTATATTGATTAAAACCGAACATTTCAAAGTGTAAACATATGTAAATATAATAGCAAAGAATGCAGCCAAATGGCAGTTTGATAATCTTTTTTGTTACTGCTTTGTAAAAATAGTTCAGTTTAATTCCTGTGTAAAACTTGATTTGGCACATTTGTATAAAGTTCAATCTTGTTTTTGTCAAACTAAATGTGACCCCCTTCTCAGTAGTGCTAGATTTCTTGTTGAAACCTTCTGGCAAT